AAGCCACAGGGATCGATCATTGTTTTCATATTTCACTATTCTTTTGTTTGATCAAACATAATTCACTTTGTTTGGACCACATCAGACATATAAAAGGATTACTTATGCACATCACCTCAAAAACAGAGGAGAAATGGCCCCACGCGAACGTAAGGAGAACATGCAAACTCCACAAAGAAATGCCAACTGACCTAGCCGAGGCTCGAACCAGCGAACTTCTTGCTGTTAGGTAACAGCACCACCTACAGCACCTCCGCGTTGCCACAATTGTTAAACATTCATTTATTTATTCATTTTTCGGCTTAGTCCCTTCATCAATCTGGGGTCGGAATGAACCACCAATTTATCCAGCACGTTTTTTTTTTTTTTTTTTTTTTTTTTTTGGAGAATGTGAACGAGAGGTGTTTTACAGATGGTCGGCGAGTGAAATTACTTTCACAGCGCATACCCTTCCAGCCATAACCCATCACTGGGAAACATCCACACACACATTCACACACACACTCATACACTATGGACAATTTAGCCTACCCAATTCACCTGTGCCGCATGTCTTTGGACTGTGGGGGAAACTGGAGCACCCAGAGGAAACGCACGCGAACGCGGGGAGAACATGCAAACTCCACACAGAAAGAACAACTGACACAGCAGAGGCTCGAACCAGCGACGTTCTTGCTGTGAGGCGACAGCACTTCCTACTGTGCCACTAAATCGCCACAATTGTAAAACAAATACATTTTTTTTCCTGTGAAAGAATTTGCAATGGTTTGAAGAAAAATTAAGTTTTTAACCATTCTTCTGGGGAAAATCAACATGTATGACTTTTCTGGCAAAAGTCGGGATCTTTCTTGGTTTCTTGTGCTCCCTGCAGTTAAAAATACCCTCTTTGAGTTGCAAAATGCAGTTAAATAATCAGGTAATGTTAATGATTTTTCAATAACACATTCACATAAATGAGTAAACAGTGTTTTGGGTGTTAACTGTGTTTTTAAAACAGTTTTGGAGCATCTTGCAATGTAAAAATAAGCTGTTTTTTTATCATTTCCTAATAAACATAGTTTATTATTAGGTTATTCCTAGGCTATATTTGTAAATAAAGCTGATGTAAAAGCATTTTTAATGTTGAACTTTTATTTAGGCTACTGCAGAAAAAGACAGTTTTCACTGATACTGAATGTGTGTGTTTATTTAACTATTGATATTATACTAATATAGGTGATTAACTGCTGGCATGATGATGTGGATGATGTAACCTTACCGTTAGTAGCGAGGCAGTCAAAAACATTTCATTACTTTGCATTGTAACTAATGCACTTTTGAAAGATACTGTCACTTAGCCAGATTGCTTGCATTTCAACTTAAATAAGAAAACAACTTATTGCGTTTGTTGCAACGTGTAATATCACTGTCCACTCAGGAAATGCAACCCGTTTGGCTCACTTCGCAAGCCTACGAACTCTGCACACAGCAGAGAACTGTGAAGGTTTTTATACTTGATGCTCTCGCCGGAAACACGAGCATTTCTCATGTGAGATTGCAAAAATGTGCAGAAAAATATCAAATATCCTAAATTGGAAAAGGTTGATCGGTTAAATTATGCTACTGTAAGTAATGTTTATTCAGCAATAATTCTCCAGTACTGATAGCAGAACTGTTAACGTCAGAGCTTATTGATACTTTGGTCTTTTATAATGTAGCACCGATACCGATAAAAGACTGAGTTTCGGTACCCATCCCTAGCACCACCACATTTTGCAACATGCACTCCACACTTTTAAGGCTTTTTTTTTATTATCGATTAAAGCAGGAAGCTGTTTGGATGTCATGAAAGCCAACATTACTGTAACCTGAGCCATTTCCATCTCATCCAGATCAATATCTGTGGCTCAGAGACTCATTCAGCTGGAAACAGGAAGCAGATAAGCTGACTGACTCGGTGTGTTTTAATGTCGGAGAGCTTTGTTTGACACTGAGCCTGAAGCTATTTCAAATGCAGACTCTGTAATATCTGGGTTCAGGCAGTATAGTTATTATCAGCTGTACATCAACATAAAGAGGCTTGTCTGTTTTGTTTGCATACAGTGAACATTGGCCATTAATCATCATAGTGCAGAAACATCCTACGCTCTCTTTAAATGGATGCAGTGTTATAATGGAAACTGTGAAATATGTGATATACTGTGATTTCACACCCTTCATAGTTTATCCCCCTTCATAGTGTATGAGCAATGCAGAGATCACACAGCCTAAATGAAATCATGAAAAGCTTTTTTTTTTGTTTTGTTTTGGTTTCTAAATGCATTCCAACTGAAGTAAAATAAAGTCAAAATATATATCTATACAACAGTTCTGTCTGGTTCTCGAATCTGGTTGGCTGATAGCCATGAAATATTTAAGTAATATCAGCACCCGTACAGCCTCTTTACCCTTTGTGTATTACTCCGCCCACATACAGCCAGCAACAAGCAGACAAACCATATATGGTAACTAACTCTTTAGCATTATCGCCACCTATTGAATTTCACAAATTTCTTTTCCCATTTCAGTCATTATTATTATATCGCAACGATCAATTTAACATCTCTGCAGTTTCTGAACTCAAAAATTAAAATAATTGGTTAAAGACACTTATGACTTTATTCCTGTGTCCATATACACAAAGAAAACAGACCGTCTAATTGTTGGATTAACTGTAATAAACTAATTCAAGCTCTTAATATTATCATACTCGGTTAAAATCACTTTGTTGTAAAATATAAAAAGCAAACAATAATATGTCACTTTAAAATAAATTATCCTACTATAGTTAATCATTTAAACAATATATATATATATATATATATATATATATATATATATATATATATAGTTATATATATATATATATATATATATATATATATATATATATAGTTATAAACTGATTATCTTAACTGATTATAATTATAAGTTTATATATAAACTATCTTTGACTAAACTGTCACGGCTGTTAAAAAAAACAAAACATATATATATATATATATATATATATATATATATATATATATATATATATATATATACATATGTGTATATATATGAATGTGTGTGCGTGTGTGTATATATATGTGTGTGTGTGTGTGTGTGTGTGTGTATATATATATATATATATAATTTTTTATTATTAATAGTTAATTTGTTCCTATTTGTTTCCTATTACTGTAGTATTAAATTACTATAGTATTAATTGTGGGAAATCATTAATTAAATGGTTCTTAGAAAATTAGGCTAATAAACACTATTAAATAGCTTGAGTAAATATTAATATAGTGTTATACATTTGTTACATGTAAAAAGATTTTTATTACATATAATGTATTATTGCCATAATTGCCTATATTAACTTGCCATTATTTCCTTCATCATAAATTATTCCATTAAAAATAGTTAAACCTGTCCAAATGAGTTCATTCAGCAAGGCCAGCAAACGAGTATCTGCCATATTATTGTCAGATAATAATGGCTGATCAGCTATGATGACTGATAGAAAACTGTTCACTCTATTATATTGAATGGCGATCGGACACAATGCTGCCCATTCGGCCGTCTCAATCGCAATATTTGTGAAATAAAGTAAACACTATTGTTTATTGTGTACAATATTTATTAATCATATATATATATATATATCAATGACGATGTTCAAAAAGATGTTAATAACATTAACATCCGTCGTAACCATATATGGTTTGCCTATATTGTGTGTCCTAGATTGTGTGTGCCTAAAACGTGTGTGGTTCTGCGGGCCTGCAGCTGGATATACAGACAAAGAGCATAGAATCACCAAGAGGCGATACTCTAGTGCAATTTGGGAAAAAGCCACTAGATGGCGAAGCGGCCATTTTGGAATAAAAACTCCAATAGAACAACAGCATATTAAAAGTATGTAAAATAATCTATTAAAAGTGCTGATGATTGTCATAGTAAGTGATGTTTTTTTCGTCTGTCAGAATGTATCTCAGCTTTAATGTGCTTTTTAAGTATATAAATAAAAAACAAAGCAGCTGCTTGCCATCGCGACAGCAATAAGATCCAATGGACAGCTGATCGCTTTCACTCCAAAATGGTGGAATCCAGGGCTGTTGCTGGGCGCTGCTGTTGCAATGGAACGTTCTATTGAGTGCCGCCTCTTGGCCATTCTAAGCTTTTTGCTACAGATCTAAAGTGTCATTAGAATCTTTAAAAGATGCTTGCTCAGCTGTTTAACTGTCAGCTTATGATTTGAATCCAACGCAGAAGAAAGTAGTTCCTCATACAAAAGGGTTTTTGAAACTGATTTTGTTTTTACATACACAATTATGCAGTCAAACTGTTGTATAAACGCAATATCACACTCGTAGCAGTGATAGCATTTTTTCCCCTTATACACCAGCGTAAATACTGGTAATTCTGTTATTGAATTTCAAATAGGGCCAATTTAAAGGGCAAAGGCTTTCGTTTTTCAGTTATAAATTGCCTACTAATGTTTTGCTTTTATATTTTACATTAGGCTATTGTTTGTGCATAAACATATCTAGATATAGTAAAAAACATGCGGTTTGTCTGAAAACAACATTTTTTGTCATCATTACCGCAAACCAGGGGCCTTACAATATTTTCAAGGGGAAAAGGGGGTCTCTGGCAAAAAAAGGTTGAGAACCACCGCTCTACAGAACAGACCACTGTTATACAATGACTTGCCTAATTACTCTAATTTGCCTAATTAACTTAGTCAAGCCTTTAAATATCACTTTAAGCTGAATACTTGTATCTTGGAAAACATCTAGTCAAATATTATTTACTGTCATCATGGCAAAGATAAAATAAATCAGTTATTAGAAATTAGTCATTATAAAAAAATCTTCTATGCATTTGAATAGAAATTGGGAAACAAATATAAAAGAAATCAAATTTAACTGGACGGCTAATAATTCTGGCTTCAGCTGTATGTGTGTGTAATAATGTTCTGATCTTCTGAACAGGTATATTCGCACCATGTATCTGGGCATCCAGAGCCGGCGGCAGAAGGAGCATAGGCGGCGTTTCTACTGGGCCATGATGTACGAGTACGCTGACGTCAACATGCTGCGTCTGCTCGAGACCTTTCTGGAAAGTGCCCCCCAACTGGTGCTACAACTCTGTATAATGATCCAGAAGAACCGGGCTGAGACCCTGCAGTGTGAGTATGAACCGGACCGCTAAATCACTGTTTATTTTAAATGTGGATTTTCAGTGCAAATAAATATCTTTTTAATCAGTTTTAAAATTATGATCAGAGATGTATAAAGTACTAGAGATCCAGACTTAATTGAAAGTACAAGTGCTCTATCAAAAAAGTGACTTGAGTAAAAGTTGAAGTGCTCTTTAAAGGGCCATGACACCCCCGATATTCGGTTAAAGTCTACTTCAGAATTTTTTCAAAATATGCATGATTAATGGGCGTGGAACTCAACTAGCATCGGCAGGAGTGGGCGTAGCCAGTAGGGGAGAAGGAGGGGAGCGAACAACTGTTGTTGACAGTTAGCTCACAAAATGAGACAAACCGTGAGGAGACGCATGAGTTTATAGTTCACACAGTTAAAATGCAAAGAACTAAACAGTAATTTAATGCCCTGCTACATTTGTTATTCGTAATTTCATATACACATAACCACAATTTATATCATTATAAAGATAAGTGTGTTCATGTAAACACTATAAATGAGGACTTCTCCCTCGATCCCCGTATCCAGCAGACTCAGTGCAGTTTTACTCAATTTTAACCATTAGTCCTGCCGGTAATCTAGAGGATTTAGGCAAACACAGCAGCACAGCGATGTGTCTGAATGTGAACGAACTCCTGATAAAAGACAGCATCCGCCATTCTCTAATTCTCTGCTGCTCTGCAGACAAAAATGCTAGCAGCACACTCACAGCTTTGCTGTATGATCAGCCCTGACAAGATCGCGGGGGAAAACATGCAACAAACCCCGTGGATCATGGAAACAAACGCATATGAGGCGTCATGAACGGCTAAATACTGTGTGCCCGTGCCATGTCTCACAGCTCGGGCTTGACTCTGGCAGGTCTGATGAATAATTAAGCAGCCGGCTCTTCTCATAGGATAAGAAAACTCCGCCATGAATAATAATGAGAAACCGACGTGTCATCATTGCACTTGCAGTACTGCGCTGCGTCGCCGATTTTGATCCCCCCCCAAAAATCATTTTAAACCCGGAAGCTGAAATTAGCTGACAAAAGCTCAAAATTATCCAGTTTTCCCCACAATTAAAGCCGACAGGTGCTAACATTGTCTTAACTGATGCTCAACACACACACATCTGTTAATATAAAAAAAAAAGTTCTCCAGGGTGTCCTGAACCTTTAAGCACCATACTTAAGTGGAAGTACTAAAGTATTCAACATTTTTGGTGCTTAAGTATTGCAAGTAGTTAAGTAGAAGATGTACTACTCAAGTACTGAAGGTAAAAGTACAAGTATTGTGTAATGTAGTTATTAAAGAAAGCAGTCAAAAGACGTCATATTGTTTTGCTTATTTTAAATATATTTTGTTGGGGCACATGATTACACAGAACGAAAAGAAACATGGCTTACAATAACGTTTTTCTCTCGCGCTTGAACCACTGATCTGACAGATTATAACAGCTTTAACACTAAAGGTGTCACGATCCTCCAAATCCTCCATTCGATTACATTTTCGATTCTAAAGTCACGATTTGATTCGATTATGAATAATTCATTAATTAATAACGAATTAATTATTTGTAGCCTACCATTTAAACTACCTGACTTGCATGGTCTTTGTTTTACCCATAAACAAATCATACAGTAAATGAATAAAGGCAAGATACACACATAATTACCACCTGTCAATCACTTTTTTTTGGGACTTGTGAATAGGCAATGATCTGTGTCGTTATAATGGCGTCGGTAAAAAAGGTGCACAACCAACAGGAACCAGCCAACAGTATCATAGGTGTTCGCTAAAATGACTAAGTACTTGTGTGAAAGTAAAAGATGGAAGCAGTCTACTGACCCGCTGACTGCCTTGACCCGCTGTCTCGAGCGCATGACAATGGGTGTGCGTCTGTATCTGTGTGTGAATGAGTATGTGTGGTCACGTGATGTGCGTTTTCAGCGGTAGTGAGGAAGGAGGGCTGCTCAGAAATGCTACACGCCACTGTGGATGTGGATCGTTGTCATTCTAAAATGCCATTTAAAAACAAAGACAGTGTAAACAGGGCCTGAGTGTGTACTTTTCGCGAGCGGATTTGTAATGGCTGCGCGGCGGAGGATCTCGATGCGCCCATAGTCTATCATCCCAACCGTAATACGTACATAGCAGACTTTGCAAAACTGTGTTTTTTTGTCGACAACACGAACGTTGTCAACGTAACTAACTGGAAATCCAAAATACTTCCACACCGGCGACTTCATTGAAAGAGGAGAGGGTTTAAGCTCTGTCGACGGGTCTCCTGCGTCTGCAGTTTAACAAGCACTTCAACAAGCATGTTTTTTTCCCGCTTGGCAAGGCAAGCTAACGTGACATGGGGGCGTGGCAGCATCGACAATTCTATTTTTTGATTCGATAATCGAAGTTGAGCATAAATTTCGATCGATTTCGATTAAAAATCGAAATCGTGACACCCCTATTTAACACACACCTTTTAAAGTTGTTTGTCACAAAAACACTCTGTAATCCACTCAAAACGCTATTAAATCCCTTTCGGAAATTACCGGTTGTAAACGGAAGTTCTAAACATTCTATTGGAAGACGCTGGTCACTATGGCGCCCTCCATGCAGCAGCCAAGAAAAAGGTCTATAATAGTAATGAGTAGAGGTGTGAATCTACACTGGTCTCACGGTTTGGTTCGGTTACCATTATCATGCCATCATTTAGGTTTAATTCGATATCTCGGTGCACTGATGATGCTTTCCATACATAATTAGATTTTTTCTTCACAACACAATCATTTTTTAATTAAAATCCAGAAATATATTAATATTTATATATTATTTGTAATACAACTTTGTTCTTTAATACAACAGGATGATATATGAACTGTACCATTAATTTGACCTGCTCAAAGAAAACACTCTCTTAAATGTCTCAAACAAAACTCCAACACGTGCACAGAAGACAGCATGAGCATTTGTAGGAAATAAACTCATGTAAATATGATCCCGCTTGCTTTTTGAGCGCTGACAGGCGAGGTCTTACACCCCTATGATTGGTTATTGTCTTCACCTGCTCAACAGAAAAGGCTGCGATTAGCTTTGGAAATTAAAGCGCTGTTCACCGATGGTGGGAAGAACAGTCGCCGTTACAGTCCGTATGCGCCAAGTGTGCCGCAAGCCTGCGTTTGAGTGAAGTGTTTAAGAACACTGTTTATTCGCTAAGGTCAGGGCTTTTTTCGGGCTTTATTAGTTTGCTGATACACGTACGCCTAGCCACCCAGATAGCAAAATACACTCGGGCCAGTTCCGGCTAGATTCTCGCCTGCCGGAGACTTACCCCTCAGAGCTCAGACTGACTACCTCTGCTGGACCTACTCCGGATGCCTGGACTCACTGCCCGATTCCAGCCCGAGTCAATCGAGCCAGATGCAGCGGCCGAGCGAGCCGGCGCTGCCGCATGCGAGCCGGAATCAGCCCACGACGCCGCGAGTAAGTTATGCGCTGCGGCCTGGAGCTGGCGCGATTGAATATATAAAACCCTCATATTTGTTAACGTTATTACATCCATTTGTGTTGATATGACACCAAACGCATGCTGAGAAGTTCGGGGGGCGTGGTTAATTTTACATAAAGCGTTTGGTTGGAAGCTCGACTCCGCTCATTTTTGCGGCTCCTCCTCTGGCTCCATCAGACAATCCTTCTGCGCATGTCAAGGCTCCAATTTCAGCAGTCTTTTGCGACAGTTTGTGCCCGTCAAGCAGGCGTTTTGCCCTCAAGGCGTTCAATGGGAAAAAGGGCTGTCGCGTCGTCCATATTTTTTACAGTCATTGGTATGCGCATAATGCGCGGTTATCACAGGTAATCCGTAATAGACACAGTGGAGAAAACTCGCACTCAAGCACGCTCGTGTCAGGACCCACAAGTATCGCTTTAGCAGCCAAGAGGAGAGGAAAAGTTACCTCACAAGCAGGCCAGCGGGTCAAATGTCCAAAGTAAGAAAGAGAGAGAGGTGAAGATGGAGTTTTACAGCATTTCTCCGTGGTAGTGAAATAGCAGCTCGTGTGCTGTGCCGCCTTCATTGTTAATGAAAGACTGTCCAAAAAAACACAAAAGCAGTTGAATTGTGCACAATTATATACCTGTTAAGTAGTAAGAGCGTTATTTAGTCACCATCGCCTCCTTTGCCATACACTGTGACATCGCATATGAGATAAATGTATGTAATAACTGGTAAAAAGCGATTTCTGGCTGCGCCCCTTCTTATCTGCTCTCACTTCTGCAGATTTATAGGCCCTCCAGAAACTTGCATTCTGTGAATGAATGTCGCCTCGTGGTTCCATCCCAAAGAGGGAAGAAAACACTTTCCCGAACGCTCGAGCTCAATCTGCCCAGCTGGTGGAATGAACTCTCTAACTGCATCAGAACAGCAAAGTCATTCGCTGTCTTCAAGAAACGACTAAAAACTCAACTATTTAGTCTCTACTTTCCTTACTAATATGCAATTCCCTCTTTGACTCCTCCACTAACTACAAAAAAAAAAAACTTGTACTAATGTTTTGCTTCTTACACTTTCTTTACAAACCTTAAACTTGCCTGCAGCACTTATTCATTGTTGCTCTTATAGTTGTGTAAATTGTTTCCTTGTCCTCATTTGTAAGTCGCTTTGGATAAAAGCATCTGCTAAATGACTTAATGTAAATGTAAATGATCTATTACTGAACCGATATTAATAATTTTGACACCCCTAACGAGTAACAATGCAGCACATAAAAAATCTAGCAGAGTAAAAGTATAAAACTCATTGAAAACATGTACTGAAGTAAAAGTGGAAGAAGGAAAACAAGCAATACTCCAGTAGAGTACAGATTCAGTTTGTTAGTACGTCAGTACAATAGTGAAGTAGTTCTACTTCGTGACTATACATCTCTGATTATGATACAGTTAAAGTCAGAATTATTCACCCTCCATTGAATCCGTTTTTCTTTCTTTTTCAAATACTTCCCAAATGATGTTTAACAGGGCAAGACATTTTTCACAGTATTCCCTATAATAATTTTCTTCTGGAGAAAGTCTTATTTGTTTTATTTTGGCTAGAATAAAAGCAGTTTTAAACCATTTTAAGGTCAATATTATTAGCCCTCTTAAGCAATGTTATTTTTCGACTGTCTACAGAACAAACCGTTAATTAATTATTACTAATTAACCTCGTTAAGCCTTTAAATGTCACTTTAAGTTGGATACTAGTATCTTTAAAAATATCTAGTCAAAAATGATGTTAAAATAAATCAGTTATTAGAAATGAGTTTTTAAAACTATTATGTTTAGAAATGTGTTGGAAAAAAAACTTCCTTGCATTAAACAGAAATTGAGGAAAAAAATATACAGATGGGCTAATAATTCTGACTTCAGCTGTATGTGTTTTGACAAATAGCCCACCAAAACGAGCAGTTCAGCCTTTGCTATATTGTGGCAAAACACATGGATTACAGTTACCGCTTTATTTACTTCTCACTCATGAGCAGAGTAATGGCTTCATCTTTCTGACATCTCCTGCCAAAGTGGAATCGTGTGCGTTTCAATGAATGGGGAAGGAGGTTGTGGAGAGGTAATCATGATTGAACACCCAATAAGGGGGGACAGCATGCTCAGAGCCCGGCGGCTAATCAGCAGGCCAATCAGAAATAATAAATAACACCTGTTTATTCTAGTGATTGAGCCGGAGAGACACCCTTCTTAAGGAGAAGAGAAGGAGCAGCCGGGGAAGAGAGAGAGCACACACACACACACAGCCTGATACATGTGTGGTGGCATTAGAATTAATAAAGCTGTTTGCTTACCTGAATCGCCGACCCTGTCTTCTTCTTCCCTCGACAACAACAAACCATAGTACAGAGGTCTAGAAGATGAAATCTAAATATGAGAATTATTCATTCATTCATTTTCCTTCTGCTTAATCCTTTATTTATAAGGGGTCGCCACAGCGGAGTGAACCACCAACATATTTCAGCATTTGTTTTATTATATGTTTTATATGGGTTGCTCTTCCAGCTGCAATGCAGTACTAGGAAACACCCATACACACTTGCCTTCACTAACATACTCCTACACTACAGCCAGTTTAGTGTATTCAATTCCCCTATAGCGCATGTGTTTGGACTGTGCGGGAACCTGGAGCACCCGTAGGAAACCCACGCCAACATGGGGAGATCATGCAACTCCATACAGAAATGTCAACAGGCTCCGCCAGGACTCAAACCAGCGACCTTCTTGCTGTGAAGTGACAGTGCTAACCACAGAGCTACCGTGCCCCTCCAAAAAGGGGAATTAATCTGCCTGAAAAAAGTGAACAACATTTAAATGCTGGGGGAAATGAGGTATAAAATGTTTTGAGCTTTTTAGCAGCCACTAAAGAGCTCCTACTCTGTGACCTAACAAATGAAATGATCAATAGCTATGGTTCCATCGAAAGATGCATTACGCGCAAATGTGGAATATTCCATAACATATTGTTAAATAAAGCATAGTTTCTATGCGACCAGGAATAAACATCTGGGGCGCTTTTTTGATGGTCCATGCGCAGAGCGCAAAATGCAGGGCGCAAACGCTTTCAGGGCGTGTCAGAATGCAATTTTGCTAATTTAAGGACGGGAAAATCCGCTTTGCGCCGTGGCGCATGGTCTAAAAGGGTTGAGTTTATTTTCTTAATGAGTTATAGGTGTGTTTTGAGAATAAACCAATTAGAGTCTCATCTCCCATTCCCTTTAAGAGCCAGCTGCGTCGCACCAAGAGCGCATTCACTATTTACAGGACGTAAAGTAAGTCTAAGTGGAAAAAATGAGCATTTCACAAGCAAACAGTTAACAGTTTTTTTTTGTTTTTTTTACAGAAAACTGTTAAACAGAGCATCTACTACGCACAGAGATCAATTAGTCTATAAATAATTAATTTCGTTTGTTAAGCGCAAATATTCGTTTCAAAACTTTTTCTAAATTCAGTTCTAATTTCCAGCAAATGAGTAAGTGAACAATAATAACGAAGTGTACTTTAAAAACCTGAGTTATATCTTAAAACACATGCTGTGCCCCATATGGTCTAAAACAGGGGTCACCAACCCTGTTCCTGGAGAGCTACCTTCCTGCAGAATTCAGTCCCAACCCTGATCAAACACACCTGAACCAATTAATAGTACCTAAAGCAGCACTTGATAATTACAAACAGGTGTGTTTGGTCAGGGTTGCAACTGAAATGTGCAGGAAGGTAGCTCTTAGGAACAGGGTTGGTGACCCCTGGTCTAAAACCTGACAGGTGGGCAAATCTAAGCTTGTTTTTAATAAAACAAATATAAATATGGATATAATAAATAATAATGCTAATAATAATAACATTATACAAAAGCAAATTGTTATGAATGAACTGAAAAAGCCTCCCGAGATGAAGAAGACATAAAAGCAGTGGTTTTTCATGTTTATGTAGGCTAGAAAATAATATGTTTTGTAATATTTTAATCCTTTATATTTATATCCTATTTCTATTATTATTATATACTATATATATCCTTAATATTTAATTTTTTCATATGTAAAGATATTTGCCTATTGCTCTCTTGTGCGTATTAAGCAGTGTGTAAGCGAGACGCAACTCTGCGCCGGAGTTTAGACCGGGTTTGTTTTGGTCTAATATTAAATCTATTTTAGTTTATGAAAATAGCAACGCGCCAGCGGTTCGCCTCAGAACGCCTTTCTTTTTAGACCAGAACGCCTGTGGGCGCACATATGAGCGCTAATGCATTTGCTATTTAAACAGCGTAGCGCAACGCCTCAAAACGACTCTTGCGCCAAGCTGAAACTAGCAAAAGACTATTGCGCCGCGCCTTGCGCCTCACTGCGCCAGGTGTATGGTAGGGCCCCTGGTGTCTCAGCTAACCGCTTCTGATTTGATCTCTGCAAGTGTACAGGGGTCAACATTTAAAGTTGATCATCAAATTTAATCTAAAGTTGTCCTAAAACTATTAAACAACACCCTTTCTTGTCCTAGGACAATTTTGCAAAACATTTTTGATTCACTTCGAATGTGGACTACTGTATATCTGTACCAGTGTATTTTAGGTATTCATTGAAGAGTGTTTCCACAGGTGTCTCCTCGGTTGCCTCCCTGCTCTCTCTGGCCTGGGTCCTGGCTTCATACCACAAGCTCCTGCGTGACTCCAGAGATGATAAAAAGAGCATGAGCTACAGGGGCGCGCTGATCCACATCTTCTGGAGACTCTTCACCATATCCTCACGGGTGCTCTCCTTCGCTCTCTTTGCCTCCATCTTCCACATCTACTTCGGCATCTTTGTAGTCGTGCACTGGTGCGCAATGGCGTTCTGGATCGTGCACGGAGGCACGGATTTCTGCATGTCCAAATGGGAGGAGGTGCTCTTCAACATGGTGGTGGGCATAGTCTACATCTTTTGCTGGTTTAACGTGAAGGAAGGTCGAACCCGCTACCGCATGGTCATCTACTACTTTGTGGTGCTCGCCGAAAACACGGTGCTTACTTGCTTGTGGTACGCCTACCGAGACCCAATCACCACGGACTCCTATGCAGTGCCGGTGCTCTGCGGAGTTTACCTAACCTTCGCCTCAGGGGTGGTTTTCATGGGTGTCTACTATGGGTTCCTTCATCCCATGGGACCTAAAATAAGGGTGCTAGCTAGCTCCTGTTGTGCTGAGCTTCTTTGGGGACTTCCGTTACCCCCTGAAGCCGAGCCTATGGCGCCCACTCCTGGTCCTCGGGCGTCTCAACCTACTCCCAGTCGGGCTTCCATGGTGGACGACACCACAATGGACACCTGTCTGCCTGTATTTCAGGTGCGCTCGCCCGAGCCCACTACTCCCTTGGGCCGATACCGGCCGGAGGGACCTCTGATTAAAATCGACATGCCCAGGAAACGCTACCCAGCGTGGGATGCGCACTTTGTGGATAGGCGATTAAGAAGGACGATAAATATCCTCCAGTTCATCACGCCGGCGACTGTCGGGATCAGGTACAGAGACGGCCCGCTGCTCTATGAGCTCCTGCAGTACGAATCGTCCCTGTGATCTTCAATATCCCAGTTTAGTTTCAGATCTGCCACGTTTCTCAAAATGCATGCCATTTTGGTTTCTGTATAAGCGGCGAGTGTAAGCATAAAGCATTGCACTTTTCTTTCTTTTACGTGAAAAGCCTCCAGAAGATGTGTATATATTTTGTATGTATATACTGTCTCTTTTTTAACAATATCTGTTTAGAGATATGTCCCCATGAAGGGATATGTATGCGACATGGTGTTTACAGCCAGCGGAAACCATTACATTGGAAAAATGGAGATCGGTTGACCACATCAACACCGCCTTGTGTTTTGAACTTTATTTTAAACCTATTATAACTTATTAACTAGGTAATTGTTAACTAGTATGTTATTTTCACAGCTGCGCAAGTCGATAATATCAGGCTACGTCTACACCATAGGTCTCAACAACACAATCTCACGGCAATTCGTAACTTTTTGATTTAGTGGCTAATTTGTATGAACATGTACAATCTAATTCGTACAATTTAGTACGATTTGCTCATCCCCCAATGACGGTGGGGTTAGGTGCCACGCCTCTTTTTTAAAAATCGTACATTTTCGTATGACTGAACTCGTACGAATTCGTACGAATTAGCCACTATGCTGGCAAAACGTAAAATACTTACGTTTTCTCGTGAGATCAGGCTGGTCTCAAACTTAATCCTTGAAGAGACAGAGCTCTGCACAGTTTTGCGTCTGCTCAAACACACCTGATACAAATAGTCGAGGTATTCAACAGAGTCTTGAACACCTTGATTAGTTAAATGAACTGTGTTTGATTATGGTTGGGGTCAAGCTGTGCAGAGCTGCTGCCTCCCAGGAATTGAGTTCGAGACCTATGGTCCAAACTAATCCTAATAAATTTGAAAACAATGTGTTTTCTAAAAAGATCCATATCCACACTATCGTTTTCAAGTCTTTCTGGAAAATCGCTCATCCAGTCTGAGGGTGCTTTCACACCTTTTTTGTTTCCGTGGTTCACTTTCACACTGCAAAACCGTTTTTAAACGGACTAAAAGGGAAAACCATGTGCGAGTAAACTCTCCTCACATAGGTCAGAGTTTCAGGGTTTATTTTGCAGAGTCCCGCTCAGCTGTCCTGTGCCCTTATGACGATGAGCAATAAGACATCATAAGCAAGAAGTTGCGCTTTAATTTTGAATGGTGACACTCTCAGACATCGTCACCAGATATAAATTAGAGGTAAGACTTTCTCATACAGAGCCGTGGCTAGAATTATGCATTATAGGCTTTACATTATAGAGAGAAATAAGAGATAAACCAAGATTGCTAGTAGTTCGGTCAGTTTTCCTAACAAATAAACAGCTCTTGTTAATAGTTCAGCATGCTTTCACTTACGTATTTGACATCCAATGCATATTTACTGGTAGGAATGACATGTCACCCTACACATAATTCATATGGCCGTATGCCTATTACATGTTTATAATACTCTGTGATATAGCCGGGGTCGGATTGCTTTGCTTTCTCACTACAATCGATCCGCTCCAGAGTTTGTTTCAATTGACATGAGACCATTCAGGCGATCTCGGATTGATTAACTTGGCGCAAATCTGAGCGCCATTGCTAGATTCACATATGCCAAACGAACCGCGCTAACTGAGGAAACGTACCAGCTTTCTAAACAAAAATCTAGGTGTGAAAGCACCTTAAAATGACTGAAAACGCTTTTGTTCATGTGCTGCATGTTTGCAAAGATGTATGACGCTTTTACCTGCATCATATCTGCCTGCAGTTTATTTACTTTCCATCTCTTTGAAACATCACGCCAAAATGTCGCAACTGTGAAAGGCAATATGGAGCATGTACAAACTGACATTAATATTTGATAAAGCTGTCGGAATGGAAAGCATCCAAAACATTTACAGTGTCGTTCACCATGTAAGCTGAATTGGTCACCTGACTGCAACATGACTGAAAAGCATCGTTTTTGAAAGCCTCCTTTTTCACAGTCCACGAAGTTGACGAAAACGTATTAGTGTGGATATGGCCTCAGCTTGATGTTTATCAAACTTTACCTGCTGTAACCTTGACTATTACAAAGTAATCTCTTGACAGTTTGATACTTTGTAATTTAGTGGCTAATTCGTATTAATTTGTACAATCTCATTCGTACATTTTTAGTATGATTTGCTCATCCGCCAATGAGGGGTAGGTTAGGGATGGGATTTGGGGCATTCCTCCTTTTAAAAACAATTATGTATGAATGAAATCGTATGGATTGATATGAACAAGCCAATACGTTAAATAGCTACGTTTGAATAAGTGGGTGTCCAATTCTGGTGATCTGCATCAGCAATGCAACAGAAATGAACATACACTCAAAACAATTTGTTAATATTTGAGGAAACTAGAGCGATTTGTCGCCCCTTTACACTGACCCCTGCTGGCAAGAATCTACTTCCTCTCAGATAAAATCCAAGTGGCATTCATTGTCTATTTGCCTTAAAATCTATATTTAGCTTGTTAATGTGTCTTGATTATTGTATTCGTTAGTGTTTTTTTTTTTTTTTAAAGAAATACCTCATTGACTCTGTATAGCACAGTTCAAACCCATCAAACCCTTTGCACAATACTAAAGGTTAATATAAACCATGCACTGAGATCTGTACAGTTTATTAGGAATCATTGGGATTAAAGCACATGACATGCAGGCGGTTTTTAAAGGACTGTTTTGTACGTCGAATAACACACTGAATTGATGACTTTTCTTTTTTTTTTTTTGGCTGTGTTCACACTGATAGCCAAATCTGATTTCCAATTTTAGTTCATCCAATTCCCCTATAGTGCATGTGTTTGGACTGTGGGGGAAACCGGAGCACCTGAAACCCACACCAACATGGTTAGAGTCCATAAAGAAATGCCAACTGGCCCAGCCGAGTCTCGAACCAGCAACCTTCTTGCTTTGAGGCGACAGTGCTAACCAGTGAGCCATCATTCCGCCAGTGTAAATTATTATACTTGATCAAATGTTGTGTTTTTAAATAATTTTCATTCAGTTTGATGAGACTATTCACACTCACACGTGAACAGAAAACAAATCAGATTTGGATCAGATTCAGTGTGAACATAACCTGTTTTATCATAGAAATAAGCACAAAAAAACCCTTAACAAGGTGGCGTTGTATGAACGGTCCTCTCCATTATTTCAACCTCTTTTCGAGCATTTAGACTGCATCGCATATACCTGTTGTTCGTCAAGTGTCGTCATCCAAAATTCCAAGTAATAATAAACTTGCGAGGTGCAGAAATGTGGCCGCAGCTCTCTGAAGAACTCTGGCCCACATATGTTTTCCTATAATTGTCCGTTTTTTTAATGTTTGATTTTAAGGTGCAACAAAGATGCTAAGCTAATGGCATTTGAAGTTATCTTTGCCTGAATATACCTGAGTATATTTACACAAGTAACCGCGGATTTTGCGATCGTCTTGAGAAGAGGATGAATATTGCCTCAACTGACAGGGCTTGAAAATAAAGGGCGAAAATAAAGCCAAATCACATCCTCTACTGTAACAATCTCTCTCTTTCTCTGGTATTGGTGCACCTGGCTGCCTGTCAAGCTCATGCTCCTTGCTTCTTATAGGGAAGCGTTTATTTTTCAACACAAGTGTGGAATCAAGTTTTTTGGTGTTATACTTTCATATTTTTGATGATTTTGTCATGTGAAAATAGATCTTTATAATAATTAAAGGTGCTCAAATTATATAATAACTCTAAAAAGTATAACCCCTATAGAAATATAACACACTTATAAATATCTTTAAAGCTGTGCGCACTTAAAGACACTTCAATTTCACCACTTTGTAATTTATTTTTTTTAATTGCACAGCAATATTAGTTGATAATTGTCAGCCAATCGGAATCAAGCATTCCACAGCTCAGTAGTAGGGATCTTAACATTATATCACAATATTTTCTGGTATTTATTCCAGTATTGATTGATAATTCATATCAAAAGTTCTGTATTTTTGGAGAAAACGGTTTTATTTTACAAAAAAAGGGTCTTCAACCCTGCTAAAAATTATTTCTTCTTTATTTTGTGATATTAAAACATTTGGTAACACCTTAGAATAATGGTACATTAGGTAATGTTAGGTATTTATGTGTTTACTAACATTAACAAAGTATGAATAATATTATAAAGAATTTATTAAAGATAGTTCAACAATGCATTATTAACATTAGTTAACTTAATGCACTCGGAGTAAACAAACTGTAACATTAATCGAGGTGACAACGGAGTTGAGGGTCCAAATGCAGTTTATTAACTGTCATGCAGGTAATGGTCAAAACAGGAACAAACAGTATCAAGAGAAAAATCCAAAATCGTCATCGTGGTCACAGGCAAAGAGGTCAATACAAGTGGCAAAACAACATAATTGGAAAACAAGGCAAAGGTCAGGAAACAAGGCAATGCTAGACAAGAAAACGCTTTGTAATGCGACAGGATAACAAGACTCGGCACTGTGTGTGTGCAAGTTTGGTGTACAAATAGTCCAGGATATCAGTCCATGATGAGCTTTCAGCGTTGTGTACATAATCAGTGGTGATCTGGAACTGGTGTGTGAGTGAGGTGCCTGATGGGAAATGTAGTGGCAGAATTGTAGTTAGAGTGAGTGTTTCCAGCGGTCTACAAAGATTGTAGATTGCTGGTGATTGTAACACAATTTAACGTTGTTTAAAGTAAATAACATTAACTAACCCTAACAAAGGTGAATAAATATAGTAATAAATGTATTACTTAGAGTTTGTTAATTTTAGTAAATACAGTAACTAACATTAACTATTGTACCATTATTTTAAAGTGTTACCCTTTTGTGTTCACAAAAAATAGTTATTTTAAACACTGGTGTTATAAAATTAATTTAAAGTGAAAGTATGTCAGTAAATTCATCGTTGTAAACAGGCTCAAACATGTAAAATATTTTAAATATTTCGCATTTACTACTGTAAAAACTAATTCTACAGACCAATTATAATTAATTCAATAAGTCATTTTATTTTTATTGTGGGGAGAATTCTTTACCAGTATATTGCAAACGATGAGATATCGGCCATCCCTACCAAGTAGAATAAAAATAACCAGCTCTCACAAACATTGAGCTAAAATAGTCTATTTTTTTAAAGCCATAATTTGATTTAATATAATTTATTAATAGTAATAGTAGTAATAGTCATGTACAGTTTACACATGTTGATATGTTTAGTTGTGTGCATTTGTTGATACCACCCTTACTTCTTGGGTAATGTTTGCTCTGTCTTTTTAGGACTTGTTTAAGGTTTATTATGAAATAGGAGAATTATATAAAGAAAGACGGAGCAACGCAGTTTTTAACCAGAGTTTATTATTTATGATGCTTGAGAATTCAGTAAACATCTTTAATTGGAAAGAAACTAAAGTCAATTTATTGCCCAAATTCTGGTAGTACAAAA